CCACCGTACATGCATGAGACGATGTAAGATTTTTCATTTGCAGCACGAACATTCCAAACACCTCCACCCATCTAAACACTTCTCCAGTTTTTTTTTTCCTGACGTACTTTTTTACGTTTTATTTTATGAAAAATCACATATTTTGAGCTAACTAAGACGTTGGAAATGTTATATAAATCCCGCAAATACACTGGACAGGAAACAAGTACTAACTGGAGATATGCAGTGCAGGACTAAAGAGCCTGGCATGGTTATGCCCTCAGTAACATCACTAAAATGAAGTAGCCACACTGAGGCCAAGCCATTCTGGTATTCTAAAATATATGTGCCTAGGCTTTGATTCTTATTGATTTATATGTTATTTGAATATATTCGTTTTTTTTAATAAATGAAACTTGTTATTTAAATATATTTGGGTTTTTTTAAATTCGGAGGACTTGCAACTGAATATTTTTCTTGAATATTCAAATTATCCTTCAATTGAATCCAAAATTAATTTGTGTAGAATATCCTTGCAAAGTTTCAGCTTCGCAGCTTATTTGACCAGCGAAATAGCCACTTCGCTACAAAATTTTTTTTGAGGTGTTTCAATAATTGAAAAATTGACCTTTTTGCTTAAAACTGGCTGAGTGAAATTTCGAATATCAATACGGCGTAAGTGCTCGTCATAAGAACCACTGATAATTCGATTGCTTGTCGAGTCGTTTTCAACATGCAGCGAAACAATACCACATTGATGCGTCTGATTCACAGCAGCTGGCTTTTTGTCGTGCATTCGTAGATCCCATAATTTCAGCGTACTGTCTTCACCGCCGGATAAAACGCAGTGATCATCAAGCCATACTGTTGTCCATACTTCACACGGTTCTTTTGTATATGGTGAAGTATGTGCAATAAATGATACAGGTATAGATCCTACAAGTATTATAATAATAACAATAATAATAAATAATAATAATAGTAGTAATAATAATTTACAGTTGTTAGAAGGTCAAAGTATAATCTTAAAAACACCGCCTAAAAACTGCTCAAAAGCGAGCCTTGCGGAGATCTTGTCTCTGTGCCATTTGCCAGTAGCAATATACCATTGAAACGATTTGGGGAGTGTGGGAGCGGGCAAAGGGTCTTATCACAGATACCAATGCTGCAAAAGCCCAGGTCTGTTCATAAAATTAAAGCAACTCTAAGTAGCAGAGTGTTACAACTCTATTCCTAGTTTTTGCACAGTTCGAGAGTGGGAGGGGGGCTCTCTTTTTCTCTTTATTGCTTTCTCCAGTTCTTGCTTCGAGCTCCTGACTTCGTCCCCCTTCCCTACTCTGTCCTCAAATCCTGCCCAGAAAAACATCTAGGCCCCTCATCCCTATTCGAATAACACTTGCAAGTAAGCAGTATTTCACGTTACCCTACCTCACCCTCCTTTAAGAATCTCCATTCCTCCCCCCC